TTGTGGAATGGATGAACCAGTAGGAGCAAGCAAGCATGGGGACCCTGAATGAGGTCCCTGGAGTTGGGCGACACTGGGGAGAACAGAGGTACACTGACGACTCAAGGGGGAGTGAGGAACCTGTGAACAGGCCACACAACCAAGAGGCCAGGAGACATGGTGAAGGAACAGTCTAGGGAAACTGACCTGGTATTCCAAGGACCACCATGTGGAGAAGAATTGGGAGCCTTCTTCCCAGAGCCACAGGGAACTCTCAGCTGAATCTAAGAAGCACTTCCTAAAAGCATTCCCCAGCCTGGGTTTAGTGACTGCTCATGTTCGGGGTGTGCTGGGGCAAGGTGAGAGTCCAAGTTATTTCATGGGAGAATAAGTTTGGGAAACTAGGTTAACCAAAGGGACATGGATGATAGAAAATGACATAGCTGTCAGCCTCCTCAAACTTTCTGGCTCCAAATACTCATAGTGAACCCTTCATACAGTCTCTGGAGTCCAAGCTCTCCTCCCAGGAGAGGAGTTGGAGGTATCTGTGCTGGATAGCTCCAGCTGTTACCTTGACACACCTGGGCAAAGAGAACCTCAATTGAGACATTTCATCTGTTTAACTGGCCTCTGGGCATGTCTGTGACGTATTTATTGTTGAGTGATATGGGTGGGCTAAGCACATTGTGGGTGCTGCCACCCCTAGATAGGTGGGCCTAGGTTGCATAAGAAAGCAGGCTGAGCACAGGACAGGGGAGCAAGCCAGTAAGCAGCATTCCTCCATGGCTTGTGTTTCAGCTCCTGCCTCCAGGTTCCTGCTCTGAGTTCCGCCCTGGCTTCCTTCAGTGACAGATTGTCAACTGAAAGAATAAGATGACATATACCCTTTCCTCTCCAAGGTCAGTGTTTTATCAAAGCAACAGAGAAGCAAAATAAAACACTGACCAAAGCACCTGAGGGAAGGGCACATGTCACCCCAGTACTTGAGTACTTTCAGGACATGGCACTCAGTACTGTGTAGATAAAACAGGTATATTCTGCATGGACTTCATTCTGAATGAGCAAGTGGCTACTGGAAAGGTTCTCATGTGAGGATGCAGACTAATTCCTGCCACTTGGTGGTCAGATGTGTGGTAAAGACACAGCATAGCGGTGCTGGGGGTGACAGAAACTGATGAGTGAGAAGCTTAACAAAGCATGAGTTCCTGCCAGAACAGCCACCCTTGCCTCTTCTCATGTAGGGTTTTCTATAACACATCACCTGCCTGACTTTCTCAACCATCCACTCATCTCAATAACCACCCAGAGCCCTCCAAAGCCTGGCAGTAGTAGGTGAACCCAAACAGGTGCTGGCGGCTTCCTGACTGAAGAGTGCAGACAGCAAGAAGATACATTACACAGTAATGTGGGCTGGTGAGATGGCTCAAAAAGTAAAGGCACCTGCCACCAAGCCTGACGGCTTGAGTTCAATCTCTAAGACTCATACAGTGGAAGGAGAACTGACTCTGGCAAGAGTTGTCCTCTGCCTCCACATGTGTACCATGGCACATGCTGCACATTAAAATAAAAATGTAATGAAAAATTTAAAAACAAAACCAGTAACTTAACTAAGATTTTCCATGCTACAAAAGGAATGGTGGGGAAAATCTCACAGGCACTTACACAGAGACTGTGTCCACTCTGTAGCAACAGGATGGGTTCCTGAAGCGCAGAAACCATGTTTTATAGGCTTTAAATTCTGAAGGTCTGAAACAGTCCCTGTATACACCTCCAGGGAGTCCTGGCCCAGTGTTGAAGGAAACCACACCACTCTGTCCAGATGGAAGCCACCTCCTCCCTAGTGCCTATTATCCGGGTGTTCAGTTTGAAACTGTGGTTCGCTAGGTCTTGGGTAGATAAGCCATCAGTTTGAATGCTAACTGCTCAGAAGACCACCATTTGAATGGCAGTACTTTGAAAAGCATTTAAAATTTAGCCCAGTGGTAGAGTGCTTGCCTAGCAAGTACATGGCCCTGGGTTTGGTCCACAGTTAAAAAAAAAAAAAGACCTAAATAAATGAAGAGCTGATTATACCATGTTCATGGACAGAAAGGCTCAATTATAGAGGGGAACCTTTCTTCGAATAAAGCTGAAAGTTCAACAAACTTCCAACCAAAATTTCCACAAAGTTGTTCTGTTTTTGGTGGTGGCTGTTGGTTAGGCTAACAGGCTGATTCTAACATTCATTTGAAACACCAGGACCATTTTGGGAAATAAATGAGCTTTACCAGGCAAAGGTCCACAACAACAACAGGTGTGGTACTGACACACACAGAGGCAAAGGGATCGACAGATAGGGCAGAGGGCCTCAAGCAGACTTTTAGGAAAAGGGTATATAGAAGCAGACACTGAGAAAGGATGAAGGATCAGTTAACTGCTACTGGGAAAATTCATTATTCATATAAAAAACAAAGCTAGATTTCCACTTTATATCATATAAAAATAAAATTAAGCATTATATTCCTAATTGTGAAAAAACCCCAAAACTTTAAAAACACTTAAAAGAAAATACAGAAATTGTTTTTACAGCTTTAAGGTAGAAAATCCATTCTAAATAAGGGACCAAAACTGCATCCAAAAATGGAGACACTGACATACACACAACTTCAGTAATAAAATTGAAAATTTTGTGCACTATAAATAAGAAAGAAAAACACACTGGGAAAAGACTTTATAGCTCAGAAAACATTTTAAAAAGTATCTGCCTAGACACAATATCCACAGAAAGACACAAGCCCAAAGTTCACAGGTGAGGACAGCAACAGCAAAACACATGGGCAGATGCTCAACCTCACCTGCAATTAGAGAAAGGCATATTTAACACAGTGAAATACCATTTACTACCCAGGAGATACAAAACTCAGCCAAGTGAGCTGGCAAAGGCCTGTGACCTTTGCACTTGGAAGGCAGATGCAGGAGGATGGCTGCAAGTTCAAGCCTGGTCTACATAGCAAGTTTCAGGTCAGCCAGGACTACAGAGCTAGCACATCTAGGAAAAACAAAATGAAACAAACAAAAACAAAGGGGGTAGATTTGATCAAAACACCTTATATGCATATATGAAATTCTCAATAAAAAAAAAATCAACAAAATCCACCTGACCAGACCAAGTGGCATGGAGAAGGGGAACAGCAGAAATCCTTGAAAGTTCATATTTAGCATGAAATTAAAGCCACCTCTTTGTATTATCTGATAAAATAGACAACACATGTACCCTCAAATGAGCAGTTACACCCTTAGGTACTGCATGGTTTAAATCTGTCCCCTACTGCTATGGATTAGAGTGTGAACTGCCAATGCAACAGCGTTGAAAGGTGGCACATGAGGATGGATTCCAATAGCTACCATGAGATGAATGGGAGTAGATTCCTAATGCAAAGCTGAGCTTGGCCCCTTCTCCCTCCAGCACCTGTGCTCTCTTACTCTTCTGCTTCCACCATAGAATGGTCAGCACAGACCCTTTCTAGGTGCTGGGCCCCTGACCCTGGACTTCCCAAATTGCTATAAGTATAGGAAATGGATCTCTGCTCTTTATAAGTTACGCAGTCTCAGCTATTCTGTTACAGCAGCATAAAACAGATAGGATGGGCATACAGCCTGGAAACCATAGCTGGTATGCTCAAAAAAGCACAGCATAAGAAAGAGGCAGCTTGCTGGGTGACAGTGGCAATGGGCCAGTCTAACCCCATCCAGACCACCTGGGAGATACAATGTAACCATTCCCACAATGCAATATATACAGTGTGTGTGAAAGAGACAAGTATGTGTGTATCAATAGAGACAATGTTAAAACACTCGTGAGAGAAGAAATAGTAAAAAATGTAAGCAATGGATACTATCCATACAAAATTTTACAGTATGTATGGAAGACATTCTATTTGAGGCACACACAGAAGGACGTGAGAATGATAAATCTAAATTCAGCAAAGCTTCTAGAGGAAAGGAGAAAAAGCAGTATCTAAGAAAATAAAAATCACTCTTAAGCCACTGTTCACGCCCATATTCACTATTACAATTGATACAAGGCAGGGGAGACTTCTTCAATGAAATCAGGACTTTTCAGATGGAAAAAACCCTCATATTGAAAACATCTATTCAATGCCTGGGCCAAGGGATTCTTTTGCTCTGTTGAGTCAGGGCCACTGTGTACAGTTACACTGGGTGTGGGAGATCTCGTCTCAAAAGACAAAACAAACTGGAAGCTGGGTGTTGTGGCACACGCTTTAATCCCAGTACTCAGAAAGCAGATACAGGTGAATTTCTCTGAGATCAAGGCCATCCTGGTGTACACAGTGAGTTCCAGGCCAGTTAGAACTACAGGGAGACCCTGTCTCAAACAAACAAACCCCCAAAACAGCAGCACATCAGACTGATATTTCCTTGGATTATTCAATGTGCCCCTTACACAGTTAGTTATATTCCTGAGCCCTCTGATAAAACTACCCACTTCTGGCAAAAAGGGCGCTCACAACCTTCTGGGTATTTTCAGACAGTACTGAGACTAACTCTTAAGCATATTCGAGACTGGCTTCTCCACACCCTGTATCCATTAAAGTGAGTCTACCCATCTAAAAACCACTCCAGGCACTGAAAGAAGCTAGCTCCCCCACCCCCACTTTCTAGGTTAAATATACTCTCGACTTCACTTACTGTAAAACCACTCCATCTTCTCTTATGTTTAAAATGAATTTTTAAACTATCTGTCCTTTTACCAAGTACTTCCCTCCCTAGTAAGCAACTAGGCATGCTGACTTGTTATCAAAGAGCAAGAAAATGTTCCTCTTAGCCATTCCTATGGGATATCGTGGAAGACTCCCCTAGGCTTGCTTCTAGGGCAGTCAGATGCCCCCAGCAGCCAGGAAGTGCTGGGCTGGCAAGAGGAAGGTCAGGAGCCAGGAAGAAAGGAAAGCAGGGGGAGGGGAGGACAAGGCCAGCTGGGCAGAGCCCCCATCTACAAGGGACATCAGCACGTCTCTACTTACTCCCAGAACTCCATGACCGGGGAGGTGGCATTCTGCAGGGACACATGACTGTAGTTGCTCATATTCAGTTTCTGGAACTCCACACATTTCTCTGCAGTAGGAACAAGACAAGACACAGGAGGAAATCAACCTTCATGGGGCTGAACCTGAGAACACATACAGCTGATGGTGTGGCGGGCTGGCCACACCAGACAACGGGAGTCGGCTCTGGAGAATGGTTACTTCTCAAATAGTTTGCAGGAGGTCTGAGTTTGTCAGGAGGCCTGGGCTGGTTAGGACAGAAGGACAGGGTGGGGGTAGAACCTTGTTCTTCTGTTCCTACCCAGAATCTACCACTTGCTACCTTCATCACCCCCACCCCATCTGCTTTTCTTTCCTCTCTTTCTCTGCTTCAGTCCTGTCCATGGTGTTGGTCTCTCCTGTCCAGAGGCCCTGGCTGGAACAAACAGAATGGGCTGATGTGCTGCCCCTGGGGGCTCTGACACAGTTGAGATTTCCCACTTAGGTAAAAAGGGGCAAAGACTGTGGTGGCCTTATGAAGATGTGAGGGCTGGAAAGATGAACAGGCAGGAACACACACAGAGAAAGAGTCTTCGTTTGTCCATTCCCTCACTCAGTCCAAGTAGACAGAAAACTGGCTATTGGAAATCTCAGAATCTGATCACCAAGAGACTCAAGCAAAAACATTCTAGTGTTGATATTTGCAGGCCCAGAGACCCCAAGAGCCG